TTATAAGTTATTTATTAGTTTATTATGTAAGTTCTATAAATCTAATATATTAATATATAGTATTAGTATTTCCATCCTTTTTTGGAAGCAGAATGCACATCTGACAGCTCCAGGGCCAGGTGATCCCTATCCAACAGGGAATTTTTGTTGGGAATTTTCCCAGATTCCCAAAATCACCTGCTCTTCAAAGGAGGAGATCTGCCACCTGTTCATCCTCAACACTTCCAGCAGGCAGCTGGCATCCAGGACATCATCCTCTGGCACCTCCTGGCAGGATAAAGCTGGGAAAAGGGATGGAAAAGTGTCAGGAGGAGCAAAACATGGGTAAAAATTGGATGTTTTACAGGGTTAAAGCCCCACCATCCTCAAACTGCTTCAACAGGAACATCCCAAAACAGAACTTCCAAAAGATTTCCTTTAAAACCCTGAGAGGGAAATCAGGGAGAGCTAATGGAGCACTTGAGGGTGTCAGAGATTAATTTAGCCCAGGGACAAGTCTGAAACRAGTCACCTCGAGCTTAAAAACTTTAATATTTTTATCCAAAACCAAGCAAAGTGTGACTGAATAGCCCAGATGTTTTGGAAAATAGTAAGCTTGGAAAAAAATGGCTTACATTATTTGCTAAGAATTGCAGTTTTTTCCTATGGAAAATGGGTTGACCAGGGGGTTGRAAATCACGGAGGGAAATAAAATAGGGAATACAAACCACATGAGCTCCTTTCTTTGGGAAAATAAGCTAAAAGGCACAAAATTCACTAAAATATTTTAACCTTGGCTTATCACAACAGGAAAAACACCTCAGTACCTCTCAGGAGCTGCAGCAAAGTGACTGAYAGGTGCTGATGATCCCGGGGTTTGTCCTGCTCAGTCTTGTACTGAGCTGTGAACTCCTCCAGCCACCTGATGAAGGAGGGGCAGGAGGACAAGCCCTGGAGCAGGGAATTCATGAAACACGTGTTGCCCAGGTTCAGGAGGCCCGGGACAAGGCCTGCAAAGAGAATTGGGAGAGTTTACATCACCTCATTAATTGTATTTCACTGAATAGTATTTCAAAATCTGACACAGTTCGGGAGTTTTGCTTTCCATCACAAAACTGACTCAGAAAATGGGATTTGGGCTCTTYCTACCAGGACAAAACCCCCAAAAATCAATGTCATGGCAATGCCTAATTCCCAATAAAATCCCAACACAAGCCCAGGGAAAACATCTTATTTTTCAGTAGGAATGTTGTGTTGGGTGCTATAATTACATGAAAATTGAGTTATTTTAGTTTATTTGGTGTTTAAGTTTATCTGGTGTTTCAGTTTATTTGGTGTTTCAGTTTATTTGGTGTTTCAGAAAATCCCAGAATGGTTTGGGTGGGAAGGGAACTTGGATATCACCCCATCCCACCTCTTTCCATGGGCAGGGACACTTCCCACCACCCCAGGTTTTTCTGAGCCCTGCCAAGCTTGACCTTGGACCCTTCCAGGAATGGTGAAGCCACAGAAAATCTCTGCCACAGCCTCCCAGGGAACAATTCCTCCCCACCATCCCACCCAACCCTGCCCTCTRGCAGYGGGAAAYAYCAAGAGGCGCTTTTTCCCAGCTGGAAAAACAGGAATAAAGCACGCCCCGGGGGTTATTCCCGCTGCTGGGCAGCCCCACATCTCCCGGTACCTCTCCGGCGCCGTTTCCTGCCGGTGATGGGGCCCCACAGGACATAAATCCCGGCTGCCAGCGCCGCCGCCGCGCCCCCCAGAACCCCCCAATTCCGCATCGCTCGGTGCCTGCAACGGGAAAACCGGGAATTGGGTCCGCAGGTGAGGAAACCGGGACAGCCCGCCGCTCCCCGGGCTCCCCGGGGCAAAGGGAGAACGGGATGGGGAAAGGGGAACGGGGAAAAGGGAAGGGGAAATGGAGCAGGAAATAGGGGAAGGGGAAAAGGGAAGAAGGAGGGGGAAAAGGGAAGAAGGAGGGGGAAAAGGGAGAAGAGAAAGGGAAGAGGAAAAGAGGAAATGAAGGTTATGAGGGGAGGGGGAAAGGGAAAGGAAGAAGGGAAAGGAAAAAGGGAAAGGAAGAAAGGGAAGCTCTGGGCCGAGGGTTCGACGCGAGCAACGCGAACCCCGCTCCAGCTCTCCCCTCAGAGCCGGCCCCCTCCCGAGCCTGTTCCCGCTCCATCCCGAGCCTGTTCCCGCTCCATCCCGAGCCCTTCCCGGTCCATCCCGAGCCCTCCCCTCAGACCTGGCCCCCTCCCCCGCCCGCAGCAGCCGCCGCACCGGCCCCTCCGCCAGCATGGCCGCGCCGGAACGCGAGCGCGCGGCCGGGCGGAGCCGGGGGGACCAGAGGCGCGAGCGGACCGGGCCGGGGCGGCGGCGCCGGAAGTGGTGCGGGGGGGGCCGGGAATGGCGCGGACCGGGCATGGCGGGGGCGGTGCTGAGGGTGACACCGGCAGTGACACGGAGGGGACGGGCCCGTACCGCTGTCACCGGACTGTGGCGGGGTTAACGGGCCCCTACCGGGTGTGATGAGAAGCACCGGGGCTCACGGGCCGCTCCGGGTGTGACGGGCCGGATCCCCGCGCTGCCCGGCCCTCACAGCCCCCGAGGTTCCGCCCCCCTCAGCCGTGACTCAAAGCTCGCGGAGAACCGGGAATATTCCGTTCCCACAGGCTCCAGGGGCGGTTTAGTTGCGATATTGAGGGTAAATCGTTCTGGAAAGGTTGTCCAGCCCTGGCATCCCGAGGGATTTCCCGTCCCGGGGGTTTCCAGTCCCCGGGGATGTGACGCTCGGGGACRCGGCCCGTGGTGGCCCTGGRGAGGCCCGGGCTCGGGGGATTTTCCTGCCTCAGCCGTTCCATGGCCCGGTCCAACCGTGCGGGGCGGGAGCAGCTGCGGCCCCTCAGAGCGGCCCCGCTCGGGGC